CCACTGTGTTGTCAGCACCCTCATCCATTCCCCCTGTCTGCCCTTCTGGTAAATCTAGTCAGCCAGAGGTCCCTGTTCCAGGAGGATCAGCTGTTCCTCATCTACGGCAATCCATTGTCAGTATTCCTTTGGATAGAATTGGGGTCTGCTGTTCATTTTTCCAGTAGTAGGTTGGGTTACTATCTTTATATACCTTCCACTTTGTATGTTTTCCGTTTTCCAGCATTTTTCCTGGGTACAAGAATAATATACATTTTTCTCTACATATGCTAATTAAAAATCAGTATCTTTAAAAATAATATTTTTATTTTTTGAAAGTTCTGTACATTTATACAATGTATGACCACTATATTCATCCATCCAACTCCCCTAGGACCACACCACCACCACCACCCCCTGCTGCACGTACTATAAGAATGACTTTTACAAAATGGACAGAATGTGAAATAACGACTTTTAATCAACCTTGGCAGCTCACTGAACCATGTGCTCTTGTGATCTATGGTTCCTGGGAACCTCTTTACTAGTCCAGCCAAAGAGATAATGTGGGTGTCCTTGAGAACCAACACATCAAAGCACTGGAAGATGACATGCACCTTCACTGAAAACATGAGGAGTAGCAAAGAATGCTTGACATTGTGTGTGATGTGTTCTGGAACCAGGGACGGAGGGCCAAGATGATCTGATCAGGTAAGGGTGGGTTCAGTCTTGTATTTCCCCAACTGAGGTCAGAAGAATGGCTTTGAATAAAAATGATGAGGAGGACCTGACACAGGAACAGAGTTCCAGACACAGTTCCTGCAGAGAGAGTTCCAAGAGGCATCTGGGGAGGAACAGATGTCTCCCAAGTTCAGGTCCATTACTTTTTTTTTTTTAAATCAATTTTCTCTGTTTTAAATTTAAAAACATTTAATTGAATTTTATGATTTAAAATATTTTATTATTTTTATTTTGTGTATGTGTGTATTGCCTGCATGTAGGTAAGTTCATCCGTGTCATGTGATGCCTGCAGAGGACAGAAGAGGCTGTCGGATCCCCTGGAACTGGAGTTACGGGCAGTTTTTAGCTGCCATGTGGGTGCTGGGATTCAAACCCAGGTCTTCTGCAAGAACAACCAGTGTTCTTAACCACTGAGCCATGTCTCCAGCCCTGAATTTTATGATTTTTATACTACACAATATAATTGGTTGGTATTTAGATCTCCTCTCCTATCTGCACCTCCCCTGGTTGTCCCCATTACATTATCAGATTTAATGTACTCAATTATAAATGTATATATAAATATATAATATGCCTATAGAGTCTAATTTGTGTCCCCAAATGTTAAGAACTAATTAAATTCAGGCAGTGTCAGTTAGATAATTGCAATGATGGCAGAACTGTAATGTACTGTTTTCATTTTTTATTTTCTGTAAAAACAGTGTTTTGATTGTTTTGCACAAGCTGTTTTCATGTTTTTTCTTTTCATCTAGTATCTAGTGAAGATTTTCTTTCCTCATGCTTTTTACATTCAGCAACTCCATACATGTGTGTAACACACAGATGATCGTCCCACCATCCTCTGCAACCTCCCTCTCTTCTTCACTTTGCTTCCTCAGACCGGCTCTCTCACTGGCCTGGATCTCTCCAGGTCAGCTAAGTTGGCTACTCAGAGAGCCCCAGGGATCCACCTGCCTCTGCCTCCCCTGAA